CTGCTGAGTCAGAAATGGAGGAGGGTGGTGAAGAGGAGGGAAGTGAGAGGCAGGGAGCTGCTGCTGCCATGACCAGCCAGGTCAGGCTGGGTTTCAGGACCAGGACCACCGAATTCGCCATGTGTTTCTCCTTTCCACAGCCAGGAAATCAGGGCCTCCCCACCGCACTGATCTTCACCCCAACCCTACCCATCCCATAAATTCAGTCCTTAGGACAAACATTCTGGACAGGTGTGGGTGCTGGAGAGCTGACTTTCCTGGGTTGTAAAGAGGCTACAACAGGCCCTATAGGCCAGACATTTTCAACCCAAAGGTAAGTAATAATAATAGAACTACCATTTTATCGAGCACTTCATGATGCCAGGCGCAACGCTAAGGGCTTTCTATGCACTGTCTCATTTGATTTCTGCGACAATCCTGGGCATTATCCTCTTGTTCAGATGAGGAAACAGGGTCGTCAAAGTTTCACAATTCACCCAAAGTCAAACGACTGGTAGTAACTGGGATCCAAAACCCATTTTTCTAACCACTAACCAATGCAACTTGGACCTCAAGTCGGACTCAGATAATATTCTTCCTTGTGTATCTTGCATCTTGCGACGATTTGCAAAACCCAGGGAGCAGGGGACACGCACACTAGTTCTTAGTCTCAGAACCAGGACTGGATAGGTCCATAGTCCCTCAACAAAGTTTTAAGTCATTTGCCTGAGGATTTGCTCAAGTTACATCCCCTTTCTGCCTTCAGTTTCCCCATCTGTAAAACGGGGCAGCCACTTATAACTACACAGCCAGATCCCCCAAGGAAGCTGGCATTTTTCCCGACTTTCTCTTGGCCAGACTTCTAGACTCACAGCCCAGGGATTCCTGGACCCTCACTCACCACGTACTTGGAGGGCGGGTCCTTGACCACGTTGGCGCTGGTCACCTCAAAGAGCAGCCGCTGGGGTACCAGGGTGTTCCGGGACTTCTTCCAGAAATCTTGCAACTGCCGTGTCAGGAGCTGACTGCCCCGCTGCCCATCAGGTGGGGAACTCCGTTCTGCATGAGCACAGGATGGGCCTGGGGCCAGGCTCCACATAAATTACATGCCCTGACCTCATTCATCCTCCCAACGAATGACAAAGGATTTATCCCCATTTGACATAAATGGAAACGGAGGGCCAGAGAGGGGGCCTGGTGTCAAACACCTGCCCGGCAGACAGTAGATGTTAAATAAATATCTCCACCCCCAAAATATTGCTAGCACATTACTACCATTTGTATCCCAGACCCTGTACATATCATGCCCTAAACAACCCGGGATGGGAGTGATTTCCCCTATTTGACACAAGGGAACTTGGCTGAGAGAGGTGTTGTGACTCTCTCAAGGTCACAAGCCAAGAGGTGGCTGTGGCACTTAAAGAAGTGTCTGCGTTTCGGCTGGATCAGCTCGGGAACGCGGCTGGGGTGGAGGCCTAATCGAGCCGCAGGGTTCCCGCCTCCATCCTCCCGCACTCGCCTGCGTCTTCTCCCGCCGCCCAGTCCCCATCGGGCAGCGGGTCGGGGTCAGCCTCCTCGTCGTCCTCGTCATCCTGGTCCTCGTCGTCCTCGGCACTGGTGAAGCTGAGGGTGCCGCTGAGGCGGGATGACAGGCCCTCGGCGTCGTCGTCCTCCAGTTCCGAGCTCTCCGGGAACTGCTCGGCCTCGGGGCCGGCCGCTGCCTCCCCGGGGCTGTCGCCGGTCAGGGCGTGCCGCAGCCGATGCAGGAGCCGCGAGGCCATGGCACCCCGGGGGGAGCTCGCAACGCTGGGCCCCGGGCTGGGGAGGGAGGCGGGCCCCAGCCCCGCGCGGGGAGGGGGCGGGGCGGGGCCGGGATTGGGGGAGGGAGGGGCGCCGCGGAGGCCCCGCCCTTGCCTGTGGAGGGTCCCGCGACTCTGCCGGCGCCTCTTTCGCCCCCTGGCGCGGGTCGGCCTCCTGCGCCCCGAGGTGCACTCTGGGGCGCCCCGCTCCCCGGGGTTCTCGTGCGGCCCGCAGTGCCTGGACGAGGGCAACCGGCCTCCGCCGGGTTCCGCCGGGCCCAGGCCGCTCCGGCCCCTTCCTGCCGCCGCCCCGCCTCCGGCCCCGCCTGCTCCCTGAGCCGCCCGGGAGTCCCGGGCCCTTCGCTCCATGAGGGATTTGGGAATCCTGGGTAGGCCTGGGCAAGCCCCCGGCCCCCTAAGGGATCGTCCCCAATCCGGAGGGGCGTACACCCTCCTTGAATCCTCCCAACCCTCCGGAGACCCAGGCTGGCCCCAATCTATCCCCTAATTTATACCCAGCACTCTAACTTTCCAAAGTCATTACGCGGCAGTAGGAAGCCCATCTCTCCTGTGAGGAAACCGAGGCCAAGAGAAGCCGAGTGATCTGGGATGAAATCTGACCTCTGACCTCGAGTAGCCTAGGTTTTCTCATATGTAAAACAGGAACAATTAATACGAATTTAAGTACGAATTTTGCACAGAAGAGGGACTAAGAGGATAATGTTACACAATGATTATTGTTTCTACAGTGTTCACAAGCTTTTACAATCTCATTTGAGCCTGCCTCACACAGAGGACTTAGGCAAACGGGGAAAACTGAGACCCAGAGAGGCTGAGTTACTTTCCCCAAGTCATACAGCTTGCCAGAGGTTTCTGAGTGTAGGGCCCTGCAGCCCAGGTCTCCTGAGTTCCACATCCTGTTCTTTTCTCACGCTGCAGGCCTGGTAATCTCGGCAACTCCCCTAGTGAGCTGTGTTTTTATTTTTTATCCAGAGGGCAGCAGTAGGTCAAAAATTTATTGTCCCTTCCCGTCAAAAGGCCTAGCTATCAGTCCCTAGCAGGGCAGATATTGCTAGTTATACAATCAAACAAGTAAAATCTCTCTGATGGTAGCTCCTCCCCTTTTTAAATGGCACAGGAGAGAGGGGTGTGGGAATAGCTTTGAATGGAACGCATACTGCCTGCCCTCCCTCTGTGCAGAAGGGGCAGGGCTCTCATTTCTCGAAGTTCCACTGTATCCTCCATCCTGTTCTAGGCACTTTACAAGGGGTCACATCTCACCCTCACAACATCCTGGGGAGGAGGCTGTTAGTGGACAAGAATGGTCCATTTTCAAGATGAAGAAACTGAGGCAAATAGACTTTCCCCAAATCCACAGCTAGGAAATAGGGGAGCTGGGATTTAAGGCCAAGTCTGTGTAATCTCAAAGCTTTAAATGACTCTTCATTCAGCTTCCCAGCAGGGTGTTGGGGCAACAAAGACACACCTCATTTGTTCATTCATTCAGCACTCACCCATTCACCAAACATTGGCGGAATCTTAACCTGTACTTTGGCAAATGCCTCACAAGTCTGCGTACAAAGCAGGTGTTCACAAAACCACGGGTTGTCAAAGCCACGAGGGTCTGGAGGAGGGTTGCTCCGAAATCTGGTCTAGCACCTCCATTTTACGGATGGGTAGTCTGAAGCTCAGTGAAGGAAAGTTACCCTGGGCCATACACACAGGGCCAGAACTAGGAGATCTTTTGAGGTCTTGTATTCTCCACTACTCTTAGGCTCTGTATGGATCTCTCTCCCACGGCCTCCCTGAGAGGTGGTCATCAAACTCCTGTTTGCATACATTCAGTAACAGGAGGCTCATTACCTTATGAGGCTGCCCAGTCCCATTATTATTCAACCACCACTGTTAGAAAGGTCCTCCTTATATCGAACCAGATGTCATTCTGTTCACTTATTCTTCCAAAGATCATATTATTTTTTGAACACTTGCTAAGTGCCAAGTGCTGGGTGCTGGGGAATGCACTGGCAGGCAGGTAAGAGTCTCTGGTCTGTGGAACTTAGAACAGGTCGTGATCCCATGGTATGTTCAGTGCTATGACTGAGGAAGATACTGGAGACCACCTTGGACTCCTTTGGCCTGGGTACAGGGGAGGAAGGATCCTGGAGGAAGTGTCGTTGAAGCCGAGAAAGAGGATAGGGGAGTAGGCCGGTGAACAAGGGGAAGATGGGAGTTTCTGGCAGAAGAAACCCAGCATGTGCAAGGGCCCGGGCACTTTAAAGGGTGGTGTTTGGAGCTTTATTTTAGTCTGAACAGAGAAGAGCGGCATGCAAGGTGGGAGAGGAAAGGGGACGAGAATGGAAGGGTGAGTGGGACCTTGCTTGGCCACACTGAGTTTGGACCTTATCTATTTCCCTGAATAAATGAAAGAACAAATTAATGAACAAAGGATTGCTGCAAGTTCCACACTCCCTGTTCCAAAGGGATTAAGTGGTTCCAATGTTTGTGTCCGAATTGGCATCCCCTGGGGAGCATGGCCCCTTGGCCCTGTGCCTGGCTGGGGGAGGCCTTATTTAGCCTGGCCTGGCTCCACTGAGATTTCCTTGGGAATATCTATGTATAGGGCAAGAGGGCAGCCCAGCTGCCACTGTCCATCTGACTTCCTTGGTGTCCAGCCCCCTTTCGCTAGCCCCAGACCCTGTGTTTAGTCATCTCCGTGCTCTTTTTGTTGACTTAGCTACCGTCCATCAATGTTGTCTATCCCCGTGTGGGATTGTGGGTTGTCAACACCCCGTGTGGACCCTGTATGTTCTCAGGGTGGGCTCGCCTCGGACTTGACTTGATCTGCCCACTCCTTCCCTCTCCAGATGGCCAGCTGAGCTCCTCCAGACTTCCTCCTCAAGCTCTAGCAAGGGGCCAGCTGCCCCTTCACCTACTTAGAGAAACTTCCCCTGGTACCCTTTTCCCCCCCAAAAAAGTGAATCCCCCGAACCCTTTCCCTGGAGAAGGTAAGCTTGAGAGAAGAATCTTCTTTCAATGTTTCTTTCTCCTCCAAGTGCACACCCTGTTTCCTGGACCCCTCTATACATTTCTCCTTCTAGACGGGTCCCCTGAGGACAGTCTGCCCCAACTTCCCCTCAGTCAGTATGAATAAGAATCCCCAACATGACTATAGACCTTTATGATTTACAAAGCTCCCGGTGAAAAGGGAATAATCATAGTTGCTACCTCACAGGATGAGTACTGGATGAGATCATGTGGTTAAAATGCTTAGCACAGTGTGTGGCAAGTCACAGAGGTTCAATAACTGTGGCTGTCACTTTCCTCTCCTATCCCCTGCCCCTTACCCTGATTCAAAGACAAAACATTCCACTTGCCAAGCACTGACCCTATGTAGTTGGCACAAGCTTGGTGACATATACGTGGGCTCCCGTTTACCGTGGTTTCTCTGTGAGGGAGGTTATGACTCTCCCCATCTCACAGATAAGGAAACTGAAGCTCAGAGTGGCATCGCCACCTGCCCAAGTGTGCACAGCTTGTAGAGACAGGAATTGGATCCTGGGCTTTGGACGGCAAGGCTTGTGCTCTTGCATTCCACCATGCTGCCTCACTTTTCTCTATCCTAACCATCCTCACCCATCTTGGAGCAAGTATGCTTCTTGAGGGGGCGCTCACTAAGGCGGTGGAGCGGGGCGGGTTCTCCTCACAAGAATCTAGGACGTCAAGGCCTGCCACCTGCTCGGAGGCTTAAATTTCTCTGCAAGGGCCCTTGGCTAAATTAGGTAATGGGCTAGGACTCTGGGAGGGGGGTGCTCGCTGACCCCCGGATCTGATTGGCCAGGGCATCCGGTCCTGGGGAGCAGGGAAGTGGGAGGAGAGGATGCCCCTACAAATCCTAGGGGTACAGAGGGCCAGGGCATCTTTGTGTGGTGGAGTGCAGAGGAGGTGACCTGCAGCAGAGGAGTCCTGGTGACACGCAACCATGGTAAGGATGAGAAAGGACTTCATCCTTTTACTTGCAGGAGCACTTCTGGGCATCTTTCAGGCCAGATCTGGGTGCTCCGTGGGGCAGTAACTTTGAAGGATGTTTGAAGATGGAATATGAAAGCTCCTGGAACCCTGGTGTCTGGGAGGAAGGTTGGGGAGGCCTCAGACTTGTCTTGGAAGGGGAGAGTTGGGACGTTCCAGGGGTTGAGCCTCCAGGCTTGCCGGTTCCCTGAGACCTTCTGAGGCTTCTAGCCATGTCGGTCAGAGAACTGTGAGTGGGTCTTAGCTTGTCACCCTAATGGTGGAGATGGGGACCCTCGTGGTGGAGAGGGAGTCACAAAGCAAGCCAGTGAGCAGTGGGGGTGGGCTGGAAGCCTTGGCAAACCCTCTTCCTGCCAGTGAGAGAAGGAAACCTCCTCTGGAGGATGGGAAGCCTGCAGGGCCTCAAACCAGTTCAGGGGCAGGACCCCAAGAGCTCCAAGGGGATGAGAAGGGGCCGAAGATGACAGAGCAGAGTTAGAGAGACGTCAGCCTCCCAGAGAGGGGTTATGATTTGAGGCTGTCCTTTTCCTCTGAGATCGCCCTCCCCACTTCACTTCAAGGAGTAACTAGACCCTGGACAACAGCTGCTGTGGCCCGTTCCTGACTAAAAATAACCTGCCCTTTTGGCACAGGCAAGGAGGAGGGGACGGGGGAGGGGAGGAGGAGGGAGACAAGGAGGACAGCCAGCAGCCAGCCAGCTGAAGAGCTCCTTGGACGCCTCAGCCCTTCTTTGTTGCCGGCCTCAGTCCCAAGTCCCCTAGCTAGCTGGCTGGGCTTGGACGTGATGGAAACTCCTTAGAGCCATCTTACCATCACCTGCACAAGGCCCACATCATACTCTGCCCAGCAGGAGTGGCATTTACTCCAATGACTGAATCGTCGCAAGGAAGCTTACAATCTCTGTCTCTGCAAGTTCTTGGAGGGAGGGATGATGTGTCTGACTTCTTGGGGGTCCC